ATAGAACCAAAATATCAAGCCAAAGATCACCTTGGCATTATCAAGGATCCTGCGTATAAGATGATTGCATAAGCAAGGAGGTTCAAGAATTGGTAATTATCAGAGAGCAGATTAAATCAACACAGGTGTTCTCCTTTTATAGCGACAAATGTTAAAGAGTATACTGAAGCTTACGTAGACTTAATTAAAAAGTGGGGCCGTGTGTGTGTCTCCACGCACACACACACACAGAGAAAACGTTGGCACGAGCAACAGGAAACAGGATCAAGTCAAGTACAGATAAAGTTTTTAAATAAGGAGAGCATATGCTTGGTAACTGGCCAAATTAAATGACTTCTGACTTTATCTTATTACAAAAATTTTACTTTCAGTATATATTTTAATAATCATAAGAGGGTAAACTGTTTTTTTTTCACCGAATATTCTCAACCCAAAACAAGTGGTAAAACACTACAGAATCTTTAGATTTACTAATAAATTTTCTTCTAAATATTTATATTCATACTTTATATCAATATGAATTTTACTGAAAAGCTTATTAAAGAAATAAGCTATTGGAAAAAAATCTTATTAATAATTTATGGTTTGTTGGTAAGTCTCGATAATATAATTACTTCACTGATAGATTTACCAACAAAAAAAAATTCTCCACTTTATTTTGTTAGTATTTTTCTCAAGGAATTTAACATATAATTGTTAAAATTACTGTATGCAATTTTGTTGGTAATTAAAAAATAACAGTGATATTTATAATAATTCTTTTTCAACTCTTTAAAATATATCGACAGATTTAATCTGTCATAAAACTGTCAGTAATTATTTAAAAAAATGTATTAAACATAATTAAAAAATAATTAAAATAAATTAAATTAATATAAATCAACACTTAATAATACTTAGAAACTAAGTTGTTTGGAAAAAATAAGAAGAAAATTAACTCAAACAAATTTACTATAAATAAACTCATTTAATTGAAATTGAACAACAAAATTGAAAAAACAAAATCCAACTAAAATCTAACAAAATTGTTATCATATGAAAACAATTCCTGCAACGATATCCATACAATTATTAAGAATATAAAAAATGAAAAAAATATTAAAAAAACAAATAAAATGCGAAAAACGAAAAAAAAAAAGAGAAGGAAAAATGAAAAATCTTATCTTAATTTTGTTGCAAGTGTAGCTGAAAAAAGAAAAAATAAATTCATGAAATATATTAATTAACCAAAAAAAATTAAGAAGAGAAAAGAAGACGAGAGAAGAAGATAAGAGAGGGAGTTGAGAAAAGAAGAGAAAGAAAGAAAGTAACATTGATGTTTTTTACATAAAAGAAAGAGAGAAGAAAAGGATAAAGAGAGAATATTAAGACAAATAGGTGCTTCTATAATGAAATTAGTTATTTTAGTCTTTTAAATGAGTTTTTTTATCGACAATTTTACTGATAGATAATTAAATATTAAGTTTTATTATTTTATCGGTAATTATATTTGTAATATTTAATTTAAAATTTTAATTTAATAAAAAAATTCAAAAACCCTCCAAATAACACTGATGATTTTTTAGTCCATCGAAGATTTTATCTGTAATATTTAATTTAAATTTTCAATCTAATTAAAAAATTTTAGAAACCCCCAAAAATATTATCAATGACTTTTTATTTCGTCGAGGAATATGTTTGTAAAGAACAATAATTAACAGTATAATAAAAAAGTGAATGGTTTTAGAATTCTTGAAAAAATACTAACGAACTTAATCTATTGGTAATCCAGTATGTAATTGACAGCATGAATAGTGCAATTATAAAATAAACAGTCCTAAAGCTCTCTACAATATACTGACAGACTTAATCCATTAGTGATACCCTCTATATTTAACACAATGATCAATGACATGAAGAACAAAACAGTTACAATGATCTCTGAAATATACTAATAGACTAATTATGTCAGTATATCTGTTGGTATTTTATAGTTCTAATACTCTCTTAAATATTATAAACGGATTTACAAATGGAATTTATGTGCGGATTAATACTACCGGTAATGTTGTTTGTATAAATGACACATTATCATATATTTTTTTTAATTTTTAATTTTTATTTTTCTCACTGTAATTCCCTTGAAATATTTTTGTCGGTGTTTACTGATGAAAAGACCAAAGGATATTTTATCGGTAAAATTTATTATAATCTGTTGATTAAAATATTCTGTTGACATTTCTGTTTATATTTATCGATTTTTTTTTGGCGATGAAAATTAAATTTTTGATTGCTTATTTATTAAAATTTAAATATTACATCAAACAACATTTCAATTTAAAAAATTAAGTACAATAATAATTTTATGTTGATATAGTCTAACAATTCACCATCTCTATGGCTACATCAAAGGACAAAGTAAATTGTTGCACACAATTAAAGAGATGTTTTAAGGAAGAATCCTTGATGATTCTTGCATAAAACAAGAAAATACATGCTTTCTTTGAAGCTTCTTTAAATGATTGTGCGAACTTATGTTAGAGGACTTTGTTGCTGCAAAGGACGCACGGGGTCAGCAACAGCATCCACTCTTGGTGCTGTAGTCAGACCACCATAATTGTTTTTCAAGTTGAAGTTAAAGAACGAGAACATCTTTTTGTCCTTTTTTCTTTTCCATTTTATTCCTTCTTGTTGTTTTGATTTGTAAAAATACCTTCTGCTTATTTTGCAGAAACAAAATGTAATGAAAGATAAATTTAACAATCGAAAGAGATAGAACTTGAAATAAAAGAGATTTGTTTCTTTGTCTTAGCATTAATGGACATTGGGCATTCATTAAAGAGACAAATGACAACACGAAGTTCTGTGCCAACATCTTCTACTGATCAGTAGTGAAAGTGAATACAAGCCCCACTGCACCTTTATGCACCTACTGTGAAAGCCATCATTTCAGGTTGATGCAATATTGCTGCTCATGCTTAACCCCACTTTTCTAGCTTATCTGAAAAAAATTGTGGTTTGGTATATGAGGGCCCAATAAAGAGCTTCCACAATTCAATTATTGATCAAAGTAGCAAGAAAGACCTTGAAAAATATCCCAAATTCAAAGCAAGCAACTCCAGAACTTCCAGGAAACTGTAAAATGGTAGACCATCCTAGTGCTGTACAGATGGCTTTCTTTTGGAGCACAAACAGCAGCTAGCATGGACCATGGTCAAGAGTCTAGTGCTTCTGGACTAACAGGACTGATATGGGGATCAGACAAGTGGTCTCCTTGCTAACAATCATGGACTCCTAGCCATTGTTAGTGCTTTTCCACACGGCACATATTGTAACAACACCTGGACCTTGAGTCCATGACAGAGCAACCAACATCTGAAGGCAGACAAGCTGGCTCATAGCCACAATAATATGATGGGAAAGGAGATATTTTAGATTGCTTAATTTCCAGTGCCTTGTTTCAAATCATGCATTGTTTATCATTATTATAAGCTTTGGATAAACTTGTTCAACGTTTTTTGGATTGTTTGATGACTAATGTTAATCATGGATTTGACATTAATGCTAGCATTATTTTGGAGTTTATCTGTTCACGTGTCAGCTAACTACACAAATTGCATTAAATCACAGGCTCTAATAAGAACAACACTAGCTTATTGTTAAATGAAAAACGAACTTGGACATGTGATGATCACAAGGAGGAACCACTGTTGTTTCAGCCTTTAACTATTGTGCCTAATCATCAAGAAATACTGAACGTTCGAGAACAGTGTTGGTTTGTGATGAGATACCTGCGGGCAAAGGCCCCTGTTATCAAGGTTTGGGATGTCTTCATACATGCATAAGAGTTGCAGAGCTTGTGATTTGTACGGATAGAGTTTAATGTAAATTAATGTTGTTGAATTTATTCGACTAATTAATTTATGAAAGTGAGTGCTATTGAAAAAAAAAACAAAACGAATTGCCTCTATTATCCGGATCAATTTGGATAATACATATTTAAAAACTCTAAGGAACAGGGTAATTCAGGTAATAAGGAGCAAGCAAGAATTATCAATGCTACTGTGATAATACATATATAAGGTTTGCAAGGTTAGGGACATGAAGATGTATATATTTTTTTTCAAGTAAAGTCTTAACCCGAGGAGAGTTGTTCAAGTTTTGTATATCTCGAATACGTCCATGATTAGCCATGGAATCACCTTTTGTTGATGCATCTCCACCATGGCAATAGCTTCACAGTAAATTACCTCCGTCAACAATGTGAGAAATCCAAAAGGAGCTCACTTATCATCAGTGTCGGACACGAACCAGTTTGTATGGATCTAGAAGACGGGAAAAAAAAAATCATGAATCAACAATATCTCATGTACCAGTGTGCATGGCTGGATCGCGTGCTAAACCGGAAAAGGACTTGAATAAAGGTTATCCAGTCAACCTAAATCAATTATTTTTATTAAAATAAAATCATTTTTTTTTGTTTTTTTTTTTTTCTAGATGCAGACATGGCTACATTTTGTCAGCTTACTAAAAATTCAAGCGGATTAACTTGGATTTATTGAGTTATTAAAAACTCGAATCGAGATAGAGCTCTAACTTCCTTGAATTAATTTGCTAGGTTGATGGGTTTAACAACTATGCAGTAAGAACACAAGAAGCACAAAACTAAAGAACCAAAATAAGAATAGCAAAAAACATTCGATGCATAAAGAAAACATATTTTTTTTCTCTACATCAGGCAACTAACCACATCAAATTTCAGGAAGAAGAGAAAATTGCAACAGGCAGGGGTAGGGAGAGCATGAAATCCATGATAGGAAAACACTGTCGACAAAGTCAGAAAGGCAGGAAAATGCCAGCAGAACATGTAGAATACTTGACGTATCCAACTATTATCTACGAAAGAGAGGAGTCCAAACCTCTGTGGTCGGACCATAACTGAGAGGGCCCAATCTTGGCTACTACGCTCTAAAAAACGCGTGGGTCAATGTTTAAACTGTAGCCCAAAAATCTATCTCTTGCTTCAAGTCGCAAGAATCAGCAAGAACTCGAACCGTTGTTTGCAGTAAAAAGAAACCCAAATTACCTTAACTTGGATGCTTCAGCTGTAATTCTTATATGTTAAAGCTTCGAACTTTCTCATAAAGTTTAAATCTTTATAGGTTTTTTTTTTTTTTGTTAATGTTATGATTACATGCTTAATTTTGTGTTTTGTTTTGGTATTTTTTTTGCGGGTTCTTAGCCTGCATTATAAATATGGAATGTAGGGCAATTAGCAAATGATTGTTAGTATCATTAACAAGAGCGGGAAGAATTGGGTATTTGGACGATCCTTATATTCTGCCTTGTGTTGGTAATGATGCTGATGGTCCCACTCCTTACGGCGAGCTCGCTTTTCCCCTTGAAGGCTGTTAATTTAATTGCTTTTGGGGGGTTTTCTTTTTTACAGTTGGTTTGATGTTTGTTTTTGTGTGAGTTGATGTTGTTGGAAGCATTGAGGGAGTGCTTTTTTGTTTTTTTCTTATTGTTTATGCAGCTTATGATTCGAGGAATAATGGGGTGGCGCTTGTGCAACAACGATCCCCTGCTGTTAAGGTAGTGGAATTGTTGGTTTTTTTCTTTCTTTTTACTGTTTATGTATGCGAATGAGTTTGGAAGTGGGATTATATGTTCTCGGTGGAGGTATGGCAATTTGTTGGGAATTCCGACCGGTGATGTACTGATATTTGCTCATAGGAGGCCAAGCACACTGACACAATATTTAC